GATAAAACCTCAGGAGGATGGTACTGTGCAGCAACAGGATGGGAGTGGGACACAAGGAGCAGTGGGAAAAGAAGTGATGGTAATTGAGCATGATTTGAGTAAGGATACAGTTGATATATCTCCAAATATTGAGGATAATATGAGGCAGTGTGAAGAGTTGAGTAAAGATAAAAACATACCAAAAGAGATTGAGGTTAGTAATGAATGGCAAAAGGTTGCTATGGAGAAAGCCGGAAGGAGTCCTCAAGCTACTCTAAGCAACCAGATTGTTATCACTACGCCTTCGAGATACGCAGCATTATGTAACAAGGATGAGAATGGAGAAGAGGTAGAAGAGAGTATGGATGACGGGGAGGGTTTGGATATGGAGAAGGAGGAGGATCAATATCAAGGTAAAATCGAGGATGAAATGGAGGATAAATCAAAGGAGAGTAAAAGAGGGAGGACAAGACAACATTTTCCTAGGCAGTCAAAGACAAATCATCGAGTAGTCTCAGGGAGAGGCTCTCAAAATAACTTCTAATGGCTGGGTTTTTTTGGAATGTTCGCGGATTCAACAAACCAACTAAGCATGCTGTGGTCCGGAACTGGGTAAATAATAAGTCTTTTCAGTTTGGGTGTCTGATAGAAACTAGAGTGAAGGAAAGGAAGGCTAAAAATATTGTAGAAGGTGTATTTTCAGGGTGGGACTTTTTGTCTAATTACGAGTACAATCCGCTGGGTCGTTTGTGGGTTGTGTGGAGGTCTAATGTAAGGATGACTCCGGTTTTCAAGAGTGACCAAATGGTTACTTGTTCGGTGCTATTACAAGGAAGGACTGAGGAGTTTTTTTGCTCGTTTATTTATGCTTTGAATAGTGTGGAAGATAGGAAGGTGCTCTGGGAGGATTTGAGAAATCATAAGGATGCTGGTATGTTACAAAAGAAGAAATGGATGTGGATGGGGGATTTTAATGAGATTTTAGAGGGAGGAGAGCATTCTGGTTTTGAAGACTCGCCGAGATTGTTGAATGGTATGAGAGATTTTCAGGAAATTACTAGTTATTGTAGATGTCTGGATATGGGTTACCATGGGCCAAGATACACTTGGTGTAATAAAAGAGAGGAAGGGCTGATCTGTAAAAAATTAGATAGGGTTTTGATTAATGAGGAGTGGATGCAGAGTTCTAGGGATTACTGTGTTTTCGAATCGGGTGGGTGCTCAGATCATCTGAGATGTCGAGTTCAGTTGGAGGAGGTAGAGAGAAGGATAAGGAAGCCTTTTAAATTTACAAATGAGATTGCCAAAATGCCTGAGTTTATTACCTTGATGAAGGAGCAATGGAGGGATTATGATAAGCTTTTTCACTCTACGTCTGCGATGTTTAGACTCACAAAGAGACTAAAGATTTTGAAGCAGCCTCTGAGATTATTGAGCAAGAACAAGTTAGGGGAGTTGCCTCGACGAACTAAAGAAGCTCATCAATTACTCTGTCAAAAGCAGCAAGAAACAATGGAGAATCCTACGGAGATTACTATAAGAGAAGAGCTCTCTGCTTATGAGAATTGGCAGAGATTATCAACAATAGAGGAGGGTTTTCTTAAACAAAAATCTAAAATTACATTGGTTGGAGGTGGGTGACTGCAACAACAAGTCTTTTTACAATGCAGTGAAGATTAGGGAGATCAGGAATACAATTCACGAAGTGGTGAGGGAAGATGGTACAATTGCAAAAACTGAGAATGAGATAAAGGAGGAAGCTGGGAATTTTTTTGAAAAATTCATGACTCTACAGCCTGAGGATTTTGAGGGTGTTTCCACTGAGAGTTTGAAGAAACTACTGGGATTTCAGTGTAGTGTGGAGGATTGTCAAAGCTTGGAGAGAGAAGTAACTAGAGAGGAGATAAGGGAGGTTCTTTTTAAAATGCCGAGTAGTAAGTCCCCAGGCCCTGACGGGTTTACTTCGGAGTTTTTTAAAGAATTTTGGTCTATTATTGGAGAGGATGTGACTGTGGCAGTCCAATCTTTTTTCCTGAAAGGTTTCTTGCCGAAGGGGTTAAACTCTACCATTCTTGCACTGATACCTAAGAAGGAGGAAGCGAAGGTAATGAAAGACTACCGTCCCATATCTTGCTGCAATGTGTTATATAAACTCATTTCTAAGCTCATTGCAAACCGTCTCAAGCTTATTCTTCCGAAGTGTATAGCTATGAACCAGTCGGCTTTTGTAAAAGAACGTTTGCTGATGGAAAATGTGCTCTTAGCTACGGAATTGGTGAAGGATTATCATAAGGAGTCCGTTTCTCCTCGGTGTGCTATGCAGATAGACATATCTAAAGCATTCGACTCCGTTCAGTGGGATTTTCTCCTTAGTACCTTGAGAGCTATGGGGTTTCCTGTCAAGTTTATTCACTGGATCACTATGTGTATAACTACGGCATCATTTTCTGTACAGGTAAATGGAGAGTTGGCAGGTTATTTTCAAAGTAAAAGGGGCTTGAGACAGGGTTGTTCACTCTCCCCATACCTTTTTGTGATTTGCATGAATGTCCTTTCAAAGATGATAGATGCTGCGGCTAGGAGAGGAGCTATTGGTTACCACCCTAAATGTAAGACTATTGATCTGACCCACCTCTGTTTTGCGGACGATCTTATGATATTTGCAGATGGAAGTAGAAGGTCTGTTGAGGGTATCATTCAAGTTTTCACAGAGTTCGATAAAATGAGTGGTCTAAAAATAAGTATGGAGAAATCGATCTTGTTCTTGGCTGGCAACACAAATGATCAGAAGGAGAGTATTAGAAACCAGTTTCAGTTTGCAGATGGTAAGCTCCCGGTTCGTTATTTAGGCTTGCCTCTTCTTACCAAAAACATGACTGTCTTGGACTACTTACCTCTAATTGAGAAGATCAGGAAGAGGATAGGTACCTGGACAGGAAGGTTTCTTTCCTTTGCAGGACGTTTGCAGTTGATAAAATCAGTCATAACAAGTTTAACCAACTTCTGGATGGCGGCTTTCAGGCTTCCCAGTGGCTGCATTGATGAGATTGAAAGGCTTTGCTCTGCCTTTCTATGGTCTGGACCGAAGCTTAATGGGAAAAAAGCAAAAATTGCTTGGCATGATGTGTGTAGGCAAAAGGATGAGGGTGGTTTGGGTCTGAGACCGTTGAGAGAAGTTAATTTGGTAAGTTGTCTCAAATTGATTTGGCGGGTTTTATCATCTCATTCTTTATGGGCTGATTGGGTTAGAGCGTATTTGATAAGGAAGGGTTCTTTTTGGACAATGAAAGAGAATACTCAGTTGGGTTCATGGATGTGGAAGAAAATTTTGAAATATAGGAGTATTGCTAAGCAATTATACAGAGTGGAGGTTGGTAATGGTAAGAGTACTTCCTTTTGGCATGAAGTTTGGTCAGATATGGGATGTCTTGATGATATTCTATGTGGGAGAGGATATATTGATATGGGAATCCCAAATTTGGCAAGGGTGGATGTGTGTCTGAGCCATAGAAGGAAGCATCATAGATATCCTATTCTGAATAGAATAAAGGTGGAGATCGAGAAGTATAAAGCTAAAGTCTCTCACACGGATGACATTCCAATGTGGAAGAATAGGAGAGGTATGTATAAAAACATCTTTTCTTCATCGGAAACTTGGCATTGTGTTAGAGAAAAATATCAAAAATGGAGTTGGTTCTCTGCTGTTTGGTTTAAACATGCTACTCCTAGATACTCTTTTATTCTATGGATTGCGGTTCATGGAAGGCTAGCCACAGGAGATAGGCTTATATTGTGGAATAGTAATGCGAACACTGCTTGTAGTTTCTGTTCTGAGCCTATGGAGAATTTAGATCACCTGTTTTTTGATTGTGCTTATTCTGCTCATGTCTGGGAAGTGCTGATGCGTAGAGTGTTGGGTAGTGGCTACACTAGTAACTGGAGGATACTAATGAATTATTTAGCAAGGGGATCAACCCTGAGCAAGGTGAAGCTGTTTATTGCAAGATACATTCTGCAATCAACAGTCTATGCGATTTGGATGGAGAGAAACAGGAGAAGGCATGGTGAGGCCCCAACTCCGGTGGGTGTTCTTACTCAGCGGATTGATAAGAATATGAGAAATAAAATCAGTGTTATAAGAAGGGAGGATAGAGCTACTATGGAGGGGGCAATGGCGGTTTGGTTTGAAACAAGATTTTAAACTGGTCTTGTGCACCCAATAGGAGTGAGAGCTGGGGTCTCAGTAGGAGTGAGGGCTGGGATTTGGAAAAGCCTAGTAGGAGTGAGAGCTAGGTACTCAGTAGGAGTGAGTGCTGAGTTGGTTTTTTGGTTTGGTGGTGAAGGAAGGGTGTTGAGTTTACTTGGAAGAAAAGTAATAGAGTTTTATCTGCTTCCTCTTTTCGATCATACTCTGTTTTAGTTTTACTCTTTTAAATCAAAAACAATTGTAAAGGTCTTTTTTTTTGAGTTATAAATTTAACATTTTGATTCAAAAAAAAAAAAATAGATGTTTTAATTATGTATATTGAAAAGTTTCTAAGTCTTTTGGATTTTGAGACTGCAATTGTTGCATTCAAACCTTACATTTTTTACATCATAAATATCTAAATTTTCTAGATATTATGGATTATGAAATTAGATACAACATCGATATTGATGCCATAGTGTCCAAACAAACAACATTTAAGCATTTGTATCCAAATATAGCCAGTATAAAATATGAACAAGGACTTAATGTTTTGCGCACAGTTGGCTACATACAAGATGTTGGTTAACCATTTTCCTCTTGAGACTCCTGACATCGTTATCTTCTTCTTTTATCCATACAACAGATTGAAATTTTGCTACTAATCTTAATTACACTATAAATCACATTAATCGATGAAATTCCATACAAAAGTTTTAATTTGTTAACGAAAATTCACTCTACAGAAGAAAAATAAGAATCACTTTTGCAGTCTAGCAAGCATCAGGGGCCGTTTCAATACCAAGGTTCATGCTCACTTCTCTGTAGAACTCTCTTAGTTCATGTTTTGGCTCGTTCCTCCCCTTGAGTTTTCATATGCTAAGCACTCATTTAATTTGGTAACAACTTGAGACATGGTTGGTCGTCTAGCTGACGAAGGATTCAGACATGACATTGCTAGTTCAACTGCTCTCCAAACAGAATTAGAGTCATAATCTCCAAAGAGTTTTGGATCCATAATGTTCTGGATGTCTCCTTTTGTAAGCATTAACCCAACCCATTCTACTATATATGGTTTTTCACGATTTTGATTGATCACATGCTGATTTGTGATAATCTCTAATAGCACAATTCCGAAGCTATAAACATCACTTTTTTCGTTCAACCAGTTCGTTTGATAATATCTGCAAACAAAAATTCTTTCTGGCATTAAAAGGGGAATGTGCAAAAAGGAAAGATATTAAGTTATGAATGATAAAATTAAGAATTTATATTCATATTAATGATTTTTAAAAATCAATAATCAACAACTTCATTCAACTTACTCTGGATCAAGATATCCAGGGGTTCCAACAACAGCCGTGGACACATGAGTTTCTCCTTCAACTGGAAAAGATCTCGAAAGCCCAAAATCAGCTAACTTGGCCTGAAAATGTTCATTCAATAATATGTTTGCGGTTTTGACATCCCTATGAATCATAGGTGGTTTGCACCCATTATGCAAGTACTCCAACCCTGTGTAACAGTTTTCATTTTCATCAAGGTTTACGCAAAGAACTAGAAAAAAAAACAATAAACTATACACTGAAACTCATATCAAACCTTGTGCGGATTCAACTACTATTTTTAGTCTGGTTTCCCAGTTTAAAATAGTTCCACCTCGTTTTCCTACATTGCAACCAAACCAATATATGAATATGTTACCATTAAATACGATTTTTGAAGAAATTTATTGTAGTTACCCGACATATGTTCTCTTAGGTCTCCTTTTGCCATGTATTCGTATATCAGAGCCAAATTTGCTCCTTCATCACAATATCCGACGAGGCCAACTAAATTTTTGTGGTGAACTCTGAGAAGAAGTTCCACCTAAAGTGTAGAAGAACCATTAAAAACAAAGCATTATATTGTTAAAGCACATTATTGTTTTCTTCAAATTTTTAGTATATAGATTTGCTAAACTTTACCTCTGCTTTGAATTCTTTATACCCTTGAGAAGATGAGTGTGAGAGCATTTTAACGGCTACTTGTTGAGAACCATTTACAATTCCATGATAGACCATTCCAAATCCTCCTTTACCAAGGACTCTTCCAAAGTTGTTTGTCATTGTTACAACCTCTGAATAAGTAAATCTTCTATTTTCGTCACTATTGCTGGTTCTGAAACTCCATCTGTTCTAGGATCTGATATGTGAGTGTATAATGACGGATTTAACGTTACAATACATCTGTGTCATATGACTTTGCATAAATGCATCTATTATGATATTCCCCATGTTTATGTCAATTTTAAATTTTTTTTTTTTATACCTGCACTATTTGATGTCCTTTTCTTTCTGAATACAAAAAATAAAGCCACTGTAGATCCAAGAACAACCGCTACTACGACCGATACAATAACTGCTACTACAATCGTTTTTTTCTTGGAACCACCGGATTTGTTTGCACAAGACTCATCCGCACAAATAAGATCCGGGTTTCCATCACGACTCTGAATTAATTAATAGGGATGTTTCATTAGAATCAAACGGTTTAATATGTTCATGGAGAAAATATGGTGTATGACAGATAAACCATTACATTAATTTTAGTCCTTTTTTCTGAAGAAGGGCTTGAGGAACAGAGCCATTCAGATTGTTTCCACTTAAATTTCTATTAAGATAGACACAGAGTTAGTAACATAAGCAATTCTGTAATGAAAGAAGCTAGAAGACAAAAGAAATGGTAGTCAGAGAAGCGACTCACATGATCAAAAGTGATTTCATGCCAGCAAGAAACTCTGGTACTCCTCCCGTCAAATTATTATTTGACAAGTCTCTGATTAAACATTTAGATTTAACTATACAGTATGTTATAAATGTGTTTTTTTTATTACGCTAAAGTACAATTTTTTTTAGATACTTACAATTCTTTTAGGTGGGTTAGATTCTGAATGCCAGACGCTATGATTCCCGTTAAGTTACTTGATGACAAATTCCTAAAGACATTCATGAAGACATGTTACGTAAAAGTGACCAGACATTGTGAGAGTACTTACTATCTAGCACAATATAATTTAAAGACCAAGTCTTACAAATAAGTGACTATAGGTGGCTCTGAAGAATCTGAGTTTTCGCAGTTTAAACCATCCCACAAGAACTCTTTAGGAACACATGGATCCCCTTGCCAGCTAATCCTACTCAATCCATAAGTATTTTGGATACTCTTGATAGCAAGAACTGGTATAAACATTCATGTTATATCAAGAATCAACTCATGCATAAAAAATGTAAGGAGTCATAAAGAAAATATTATATTGACTTACCATCATCTTGGTTCGTTTCCAGTAACGGAAAATCTATCACGGTGTAAATCTCTAAAGCGTTCATGAGAGGCGGAAGAGTAGCTTTTGACGTTCTTAATAACTCTACGATGCATTTTCCGTCTTCACATTGTTGAGGTGTGGAGTAGGATAGAGTTTCTGTGGACAACGTTTTAGGACTATAGCTTTCATTTATATGATTACCATTAACTGATACACTGAATTCTCGGGTTTCATTGGCCTGTAAAGTTCTAATCTCGGCAAAGTGCATGTAGATATAAAATTGGGTTGTGGACGGCGACAAAAACCAGGTGAAATTCCATGCCGCAAAATCACTTTTAGGCGTTGAGGCTGACGCCATCACAACTTGTGGTAGATTGTAACCATTGGACGTGTTTACGTTGAGATCGGTAGTTACTTCTTTCCAGTTTTTCTCATCAAAATTTGGTATCCATATACGATCACTAACATCGTTGGGGTACCTAACAAAACTATTGTAAATTTGTAATCATGTATTAGATACCGTATGCACTATTCGAATTCGGAGCTTCCCAATATCCGGATCTGAATCCAGATTTTTATTTTATTTCCAAATAAAATAATTAAAAATTAAATAAAAAGCTAACCAGTTCAATAATTTGTTTTATATTTTAACTCATATTTGAAAATAAAACAGAATATCTTATTCAATTTTAGTAAAACTAAAAATTTAATTCTTTTTATAAACTATATATGCATTTAAAAAATAAGAAAACTTCTATTTAAATGAAACTGCGTGATGAAAGTCGTGCGACGGCGATGGCGATTTTGCTCTAGGGTACGGATGATCTTTCGGCGGTGGGATCCGGGGTTAACGACGGAAGTTCTCTGGGGTTCGGTTACAACGGCGGAATATGGGTTCGAATGGGAGCTGGAGACATCGGGGATCTCACAACGGGAAGAACTCTCGATTTGGAAAGGAATGAAATGGATTTTAGGCAATAAGCGATTCTTACAGAGATCTCAAGAGGGTAATCGGAGAGATCAGATACGAATTTATGGCACATCTGGAAGGGGATATGGAGGAAACTTCTCGACTAAACGGGATCGAGGATTTGGAGATCTGCAGGATTTTTTCAATAAACTCATAATCATCATCGAAGATTCAAGATCTTCAGGTATTGTCGTTTTTACTTCTGGGAGAGGATTATTTGGGATTAAAACAAGGAAAGTCTCGATTTGGGTTTCTATATGGGAATACTCTAAGGGATCACTCATTACTGTCTTCTCTGATTTGACGATTGGGTGGATCAAAGAGGAAGATACGGGGGTTAATGACAGGAGGCTAGGGATTGCAGAGAGGCTGCTTGGGTTTCAATATAAATATTATGGAGTGTCATCGACTTCTCCTTGCAGTTTTCTATTGATTTCCAGTTTCATTTTTTCTTTTCTAGTATCAAAGGCTTATCTAATTTGGATTACTATGACGCAAGGACAGTTAATTGGATGCTCTGGAGATGGGATGAATGGTGAGGGAGCAAGGAAGCGGCTTAGGATCACCGTTCCGCACTTTGATAATTCGGCGGTCATCAAGGCTTACTCAAGATCTCTGATAGGTCGCTGTATGAACCCCAAGGAACAAGACATGGCAGCCCTGCTTATGAAGCTTCCGAAGATTTGGAATGTGGAGGATCGGGTGGTAGGCTCTGATTTGGGTGCAGGTCTTTTTCAGTTTGATTTTCAAGCTGAGGAAGATATCGAAATGGTACTCAGTCAACAGCCATATCATTTTGACTACTGGATGATCGCTCTAGCCAGGTGGCAACCAAAGAAGCCTCAAAACTTTCCATCCGAGATTCCTTTTTGGGTAAAGGTGGTGGGTGTGCCAATGGATTTCAGAACAGTCCCTACCTACGAGAGCATTGGCAATGCCTTTGGTAAGAAAACAAAAGTGGATTTGGAGAACAAGCGAATTCATGTGGTGGTGGATGGGTTCCAACCGATTTGCTTTGACACTACGGTCGACTTTAAGGGGGGTCAATACTATGAGGGGGAAGAGGCCCTAGTAACTTTGAGATATGAGAAGCTCTTTGGATTTTGTCTCAACTGTTTCAGCCTCTGCCACAAAGTGGAGGTGTGTCCTCTAGTTAAAAGAAGTCCAAAGCAAAGTCCGGTGAGAAGGGACTTACGAGAGGGTGGCTATGGAAGACATGAGGAGGGGAAGCATGATGACAGAGCTAGAAGTTACAAGGGAGTGGTTTCAAATAGACATGGGGCCGGACACAAACATGGCAAGACTAAGGAAAGCAGGGACTATTATGGCAAAGGAAATGGAAAGATGATGGATGAAACCGACACAAGATGGAGGAAAGTAGCAGAGCGAGAAAACAGGTCCCAAAGTTATCATCGTAACAGCCAACGTGGAGATGGGGATGTTCTGCGGTCGAGATCATCAAGGGAGGGCGAGACTAGAGTGGAGGATAAGGGTACCCGATCTCAGTATGAGATAGGTTCCTCACAGGCAACAGGAGACAAAAGAGGAGAAGGCGCAGAGGAGGGGGAGATCAAAGCCACAGAGGAACACCAGCAACCCTCTCTGGAATTTCAGAGGGAGCTTTACAATACTCAAGCTGCGGGAAAGGAGGTAATTTCTGATCCTATAGATGAGGATACCGGTTTACAACTCGTTTCGAATCTGGTGGAAAATAATAACATGTTAGGAGAGGAGGATGTGATGGACATGGAGGAGATTAGAGCATGTTTGCTCCAAAAGGGGATTGATATGGACTCAGAGGATTTTCTCAAGGAACATCATGATGACGACTTTGATGTTATGCTTAAAGAACAGGAAGACGAAGCTTTGGCAGAGGCGGAGGCTGCTAGGGACATGGAGGGTCAGAAGAATGTGGAGGAGCTGGTGGATGTCGTGGAGGGGGAGCAAGACAAGAACAAGCAGGGACGTAGGAAGCCTGTTAAACCGGGGAATACTCTAGGCAGTAACAAGATGAGAACGGCTACATATTTGCTATCTCCACGGAAGAAAGCCATGGCAAAAGGGGGAGCAAAGCATGGGGATTTCAAGTCACAGGAAGGAAAGGGAGTTTCCTTACCGAAGACAACTCACTCAAAAGGTTAAGATATGTTTTACATCTCTGTGGAAGAAGTTCACTTCGAGGAGGGAGTGAAGAGTGGTTTTTTAGGTTTTATGTTTGCATTATGTTGCAGTAGTTTTCGATTTTTGGTGTTTTATTTTCTTGCTTTTGGTTTTCTGGGATTGGGTTTGGTTGTGCTTTTATTTGCTCTGAGAAGCTATTGTTCTGCAATTGTTTTGTTTGTCCATTCTTTTTATAAGCATGTGATAGGGAATAATAATGTTGGTTTACGTTGGCTTTACTGGTATTTGTTGCTTCTCGAGCTATCATCCCAATCTTGTGTTGGCCTGGGACTTGATATATTTACTGAGAGAGACCAGGTTTGGATCATACGGGAATGTAGGAGACTCAGGGTTTTACGACTTTATACTCCCCACATTAGCTTATACGGCTTCGAAGAAATCACTGCTGCACAACACGTGGGGTTGGTCTCCTCAAACCAATCCGGGGAGATAGATTGGAGAGTCACAATTGGCTTATATAAGATGGGGAAGCTTGTTTGTGTAGGGTTTTTGCAGGTACATGGGGTTGGTAAGAGATGGATTGCGACATTAACAGCTTGGAGTCGGAAGGTGGTTTCAGTCGCCTCAATTTTGTTGACGGATCAAAATCAGGAGAGTGGGAGCGTCATATTGTGGTTCCTTGACACGCAGTGGAGAACATTTAATATTTATTTGTTCAAAGGATGGTTGGATCAGCAAATGGGTCTCTTTATACCCGTCTGTATTAGCTCTCACGAGCTCCATCGGAATTTTTTTTAATGCGGATATTAAGCTGGAATTGTAGAGGAATGGGAAGTAAATGGACAATTAGTTACTTGAGAGAAATATGGCATCAACACAAACCGGATTTTCTGTTCTTATCCGAGACGAAACAAGAATTTGAGTTTATACAAGGATTTCAAGCTCACTTTGGATATGATAAATTGGTTACAGTGAATCCTGTGGGACGGAGTGGTGGTTTAGCGCTTTTTTATAATAATGAGTACGAGGTTAATATCTTATACTCTAGTAATCGAATGATTGATGTGGAAGCGGTGGCAATAGGAAAATCTGTGTTTCTTACTTTTGTGTATGGAGAACCAGTGACGGAATTAACGGAACAAGTATGGGAAAGATTGACTAGATATGGTATTGCACGATCGGTTCCCTGGTTTATCATTGGGGATCTAAATGAGATCACGGGCAACCACGAGAAAGAAGGAGGAGCTTTACGCAATCTAGCTTCTTTTGTCCCTTTCAACAATATGATTCGGAATAGTGGGTTACTGGAATTCCCGGCGCGGGGTAATAAAATGTCATGGCAGGGGCGTCGTGGGAAAGGGAAAGGAGCAGTGATGATACGGTGCCGGTTGGATAGAGCTTTAGCAAATGAAGGATGGCACACGGCTTTCCCATGCTCTTATATCGAGTATTTGGGGATGGTGGGATCGGATCATCGCCCAGTAGTGGCTTATATGGAGAACAAAGTTCAACAAAAAAAAAGGGCCAATTTAAATTTGATAAACGATGGCTTGGGCAGGAAGGGTTGATGGAGTCGATAGTTGCTGGCTGGAGCGATCATAATGGTGGGAACGATGGTACTCTAGTTGGTAAAATTTCGAATTGTAGACATGAAATTGCGAGGTGGAGGAAAAATAATCCCCAATATGGGAAGGAGAAAATAAAGGATCTCCAAAGGGCGTTGGAAGAGGTACAAACGGATGATAATAGAACACAAGAGGATATTTTAGAAGTGTCACGCAAGTTACAAGATGCATACAAGGATGAAGAAGAATACTGGTATCAAAAAAGTAGGAATATGTGGTATTCTTCGGGAGATCTAAACACACAGTTCTATCATGCCTTAACCAAACAAAGACGAGTTCGGAACAAAATAGTAGGCCTCCATGATGACACTGACAATTGGATTACTGAGGAATTGGGAGTTGAGAATGTGGCAGTAAATTATTTTGATAATCTATTTACATCAACTAACCCAACGGATTTTGCGGATTTTCTGGAGGACATTCCAATACATATAACACCGCAAATGAATCTTCGGTTACTCAGACCAGCAACGGAGGAAGAGGTTCGACAAGCTCTTTTTATGATGCACCCCGACAAAGCACCAGGACCCGATGGGATGACAGCGTTGTTTTTCCAACACTCTTGGCATGTCATTAAATTGGATTTGGTGCATATGGTTAATAATTTTTTGGTCTCCGGAGTCTTGGAACAGCAATTAAATGAAACGCATATTTGTATGATACCAAAAACAGAGAGGCCCACGAGAATGATGGAATTTCGGCCTATTAGTCTGTGTAATGTGGGCTACAAGATTATATCTAAGGTCTTATGTCAACGGCTTAAAGCATGTTTACCATGGGTAATTTCGGAAACACAATCGGCATTTGTACCTGGACGTCTAATTTCGGATAATATCTTAATAGCTCAGGAAATGTTTCATGGATTGAGGACAAATCAATCTTGTCAAGGGAAATTCATGGCCATCAAAACGGATATGAGTAAGGCGTATGATAGGGTGGAATGGGAGTTCATACAAGCTTTACTTCAAAAATTAGGATTTGATCAGAGATGGATAAGGCTTATGATGGCATGCATTTCCTCGGTCCAGTATCGAGTCTTGATCAATGGGCAGCCTCGAGGTCGTATTATTCCGCAGAGAGGATTAAGACAAGGGGATCCTCTATCACCATATCTCTTCCTCATGTGCACAGAGGCTTTAATATCAAATATAAAGAAGTCGGAACGAATGAAAAGATTAACCGGGATGAAGGTGGCAAGAGCATGTCCCGCTATTTCCCATCTTCTTTTTGCGGATGATAGCTTATTTTTCTGTAAGGCACAACCAGAGGAATGTCAAACCATTCTTAGGATACTTAAGGAGTATGAGGTGGTCTCAGGTCAATTAATTAATTTCCAGAAATCTTCAATACAATTTGGGCACAAGATAGAAGAAGCAAAACGTCAGGAGCTAAGAGATATTCTAGGAATCCAAAATCTTGGTGGTATGGGGACATATTTAGGATTACCGGAGAGTTTACACGGATCAAAGATTCAAGTGTTTGGGTTTGTACAAACAAGATTGAACAAGAGGGTGAATGGCTGGACGTTCCGATTTTTCACGAAAGGAGGAAAGGAAGTGATCATTAAATCTGTCGTAACGGCTTTACCAAATCATGTGATGTCATGTTATAGATTACCTAAGGCTACTGTTAAAAAACTAACTGGTGCAGTGGCGCAATTTTGGTGGAGTCCGGGTGGGAGTACAAGAGGAATGCATTGGAAATCCTGGGATAAGTTATGTCTTCATAAAGATGAGGGTGGCTTAGGCTTTAAGGACCTTCAAGTTTTTAATACGGCAATGTTGGGCAAACAGTTATGGCGCCTCATTGAGAAACCAACTACTTTGTTTTCTCGAGTTTTTAAGGGTCGGTACTATAGAAATGCGTCACCTTTAGAACCGATTCGTTCATACTCACCGTCTTATGGATGGCGAAGTATGTGCTCTGCTAGATCTCTGGTTAGCAAAGGACTAATTAAATGGGTGGGATCAGGATCTTCTATATCAGTATGGAACGATCCTTGGCTCCCAACCACTCGCCCGAGACCAGCAACTAAAAATCAACTATCTCTTTCTGCTTTTCCGGATATTACAGTGGATTCTCTCATCAGTACAGAGACAAGAACTTGGAATATGCCACTTATTAGGGCTCTGGTAGACCCGCAGGATGTGAAAATAATAGAGAGTATTCCTCTAGGGAGGACACAATTGGTAGATAAGGATGGCTGGCATTTTACTAAAAATGGAAAATATACGGTCCAGTCGGGCTATCAGGTTGAAAGAGCTTATCCTGACAAGGAGAATCAATATTTGTTTTACGGACCTACGGTGGATGTGTTGAAAGGTTATTGCTGGAAACTTAGGTGTCCGCCTAAAATGAAGCATTTTATATGGCAATTATTATCGGGCTGTATCGCAGTTCGGAAAAACCTCCAAGTCAGAGGAATTAAAGGAGATTTAGGATGTGACAGATGCGGTGCTGATGAGGAAACGATTAATCACGTGTTTTTCGAATGTTCTCCAGCACGACAAGTTTGGGCTCTCTCGAAAATTCCTTTCAATCCAGATAGTTTTCCAAAGGGTTCGTTGTTTGCTAACATAGATTTTTTATTCTGGAGGGTGATCCCAAAGATGGATGATCATCAGTTTGCATGGATTTTGTGGTATATTTGGAAAGCGCGGAATAGCAAAATATTTAGTAATTTGGATGTTGATCCGAAGGATACTCTTAAGCTTGCAGAAACAGAGTCTACTCTGTGGGAAGANATAGTTTTCCAAAGGGTTCGTTGTTTGCTAACATAGATTTTTTATTCTGGAGGGTGATCCCAAAGATGGATGATCATCAGTTTGCATGGATTTTGTGGTATATTTGGAAAGCGCGGAATAGCAAAATATTTAGTAATTTGGATGTTGATCCGAAGGATACTCTTAAGCTTGCAGAAACAGAGTCTACTCTGTGGGAAGAGGCACAGATAAAGATAGAGCAGAGGCAGGATTTACAACAGACTGAGGCCACTCTGCCAGTCATCCCAGGAAGATGGTGTTTTGTAGATGGCTCATGGAAGGAACCTGATCAATTTGACGGGCATGGATGGTATAGTACATTGGAGGGATTTGAAGGTTTAAGAGGTGCCCGTAATGTGAGGAATAGTTTATCTCCTCTTCATTCTGAGGTGGAGGCACTCATTTGGGCTATGGAAAGTATGCGGAACCTACGTCAATACAGTGTTACTTTTGCAACGGATTGTTCTCAATTGGTGAAGATGGTTTCGGAACCAGAAGAATGGCCAGCCTTTGCAAGTTATCTCCAGGATATTAAGACACTAAAGGAAAGTTTTCTCTGCTCGAAGATAATCCAAGTACAAAGATCGATGAACTCGCAAGCGGATAGCCTCGCAAGAAAAGCCAGGATGCAACCGCACTTCGTCGTTCACATGGATACAGAGCTACCGCCTTGGTTCACAGAGTCTATATGAGTCTGTATTTTAATGTCAAAAAAAAAAAATATATATATATGCATTTAAAAAATATATAATAGGATAGAATCTAGATCTTAAATTTCACTATCCATAAAATAATTACTATCCATATATTTGTTTTTCAAAGTAGTTTCAGACAAATTTCAGACCGGAGTGCAGATCGTGGATAATAGTTTCTATCCTTATCATGTATTATGCAAACTAAATTAATTATTCAATAGGATTTTGAAGATTTTAGAGTGGTTAACAGTTCTTACTTCTTATTCTTTATCCAATCAGATTTTCATAGTTTTAAAATTTTCTATAAGATTAAAAGGGATTTTTCAATTTTTGAAAAAGGTTTTTGCTTTTTTTTCTTTCTTAAACACTTGTTAAGACTGTCATTGATCTCTTTACAATTTTTTTTAGCTTGTTGTTATTTTCTTCTTCCTCAAAGAAATCAAAACTTACTTTTCGATAATAAGTTTAATTTATCACAATAAAATTTAACTAATTAATAATTTTCTTATTCTTTTAAAGTCCATTTTGTTATATTATAGTTAACTATAGTTTAATAGAAATATAATTGATAATTAAATATGTTTTCACTGTTAATTAACTATATGTTTTACTTAGTTATATTAAATATATTATGATAAAAATATTTATATAAGTAAAAATTACATCTTATAAAGCCACCTAAAATTCTAAACTCAAAATCTAAAGTGAAAGCCCTTGCCAATGCCAAGTTCGTTTATTGCTGGGACCATTTCCCCCATAATCCAAAAAAAAACTTGAAGAGAACCAGAAAACTAAAAACTGAATCAAAAGAGCATGATGATTGATATGATACCTCACAAGTCATACCTTACGTTGCCGATTGCGGTGGTGAAATAATTCCGGCGGAAACGCCGCAGAGAGCCGCGCTGAGTATTGTAAGTATTATTGTTCTGAAGAGGTCGTAGCTCTAAGACATTAATCAGAGGATAACTCGTTCCTGTCTTAACGAGACAGATCTGGAGAGACTTAGATATGGCCTTGTGGATGATCTCATCGTAAACCCCTTCGGTTCCCCATAAACTCAAATCAATCGTTTCCCAAAGGTTTGGACCAAGGTAGAGGTCGAAACTGGGGTACTTGTTAAGACCATCGTAATTACCGTACAAGAATAGAGCTCTGATAAGATAGTCTGTGCCTTGTGTGACGTTCAAGGTATAACAGTTTCTTTTTCCTTCTGGGAAGTACCTGAGGTTCAAAATCGGTTTAGGGGTTGTCTGCTCGAACTCCTTTTGGACTTTTCCGGTTTTGCCAGTTTTCACATAACCCTCATCCGTTGTGAATGTTAGTCCCAGTTTAACAAAGTTGTAAGGAGACTCGTTAGGTGGTAACCCACAATCCAAGCTGATGAATTCTAGAAACACATATATGCAAAATGTATCGGAACAAGTATTTAATTAAGAACAATCTTTTGATAGAAATGTAGTAAAGAGATACTAATAAAGACGTGTATGTAACTACCTTTTTGGTCCTGAGTTTGAACGAGATGCAAAAGGGAAGAAAAAGTGATGCATATCAACGCACAAAACCGAAGTGCTTGAGGATGTGTCTCCATTGTTCTTTACCAAAAAAAACATAGAATACTATTAAGAGATCTCCGTAATAGTGGAAATTGTTGAAAGTAAATAAGCAAGATGTGGTTTTTGTAGGTCAACTTATGAAATAAAATACTAAAAAGAGTCAGCTGTCTACAAGCAAAATAAACCTAAAATATTTGATTTACATTCTATAAAAGATGTTAAGAGAATATGCTTCAGTGATATTAGTTTTAAAAGACGCAAAGACAAAATGTAGCAACTGGCTTCGCTGGTCCAGAGATGAGACGTGCATGCAACACACACACCTTGTTATGGTTCAAATGGTCGTTGACCTTGACCTTTGTGCTTAGTTTCATTGGACGATGATTTGACCTGTCTTTGTTTATTCAATGTAACTAGGTTATCATCGGACTAGAGTTCAATAGTTGAAACATAATGTCAACACTATCATTTGTCCAAAAAAAAAAAAATTTGGCTAACACTATCATTTTCTTTGGTCTTGGGAGGACGGAGACGAATAAGTTATCTATATTTAGTGTTGGAATTTTGATAATCCGAACCAAAATTTCTGGTTTCAATTCAGGTTTGATTATGAGTTTGGTTCAGTTCAACATTAAAAAAAAAATTTAGTTATCAATATAGTTTGGTAGTTGGTTAGTTTCGAGCTACAATTTTTTCTTAAACAAAATTAACTGGACAAACTAAAATAACTAAACCTAATTTAAACCAAAATTAACCGAATATCAAACCAAGCCGAATTGATCTTTCTGGTTCAACCAAAATTTTTTGAGCACACAAAAAATCGAATAACTCGAACCAAAGTAACGAATAAACCAAACCCACATGCCTATATCTATATGCTCGTAACAAAACGAACTCTGTTTCCAAACCGGAATTTAACCACACCTTTTAATTCCAATTGGCTCTTAACCAACCCAAATCCCGGTTCGACTGATTACCCCTCCCTCGAAAAATCTTAAATTTTGGACCAATGTAAATAAGTAACGGGCCGAATGTAATACTTAAGTAGAGACTAGAGAGGCCCACACTTTCTCTTCTCTCAAACTCTCACGGCGAAGCGCAAAAGCGACTCACCACCATTCCATGGACGCGTCTCTCCTCTCCTCGGCTCCGGCCGATACCTTCAACGGCAATGCGGCGGAGCAAATCGCTCCTCCGATGCAACCCCCAGGCACGGACATGACCGGTATATGCTTCAGAGATCAGCTGTGGATCAACTCTTACCCTCTAGACCGTAACTACGTCTTCGACTACTTCGCATTGTCTCCCTTCTACGATATCACCTGCAACAACGAGATTCTTCGTCGGAGATCCGTTCACCCTCTCGACCACTCTCAGCTCTCGTAATCATCTCCTTACTTGCCGCTTCCAATTTCGATTTCGATTTCAAGATTATGATTTTTTTTAGGGCTTAGAGAGCATATGATTGGTTTTTAACACGTTTTTGATGATATACGTTTCTGTGTAGGAAGATGACAGGATTAGAGTATGTGATCAGTGATGCTACTGAGCCAAACTTGTTCGTTTTTCGTAAGCAGAAGAGAGATGGTCCTGAGAAAGTCACACCCATGCTGACGTATTACATCTTGGATGGTACTATATACCAAGCTCCTCAGCTTTGTAGTGTCTTTGCAGCTCGTGTTGTGAGTGTCTTCACCCACTTTCTCCTGTGTTGCTGAGAGGTGTAGATACTAAATGAAAGTTGTCTGCTTTTTTGGTTGCTGATAACGTGTTTTTTTTTATTTGGTTCTCTTTCTCCTTTAGGGTCGGACTATTTATCAGATATCTAACGCTTTCTCAGTTGCTGCATCGAAGTTGGAGACAGTTAGGCAGGGTAAGGTTTTGTTTTCTTCAGTAAGATCGTTGGTTCTGTCTCAATTTTGATGTGATGTATATTGTTTCTGCTACTAGGAGTTTACTTTCAAAGCGTTCGGTTTGTATGAACTGCCTGTAGATGCAAATGTAAATACTTTGTTCAGTTAACATTGGAAGCTACTTTGAACTCTTTATCAAGCTTATAGTCATTGCTGAACAGTTTTATGATCTTTTTTATCAAATTCTAGTGTATCTGTTGGGTTCTTTTTGTTGTACTTGAGATAACTTACTTCATCCATCATGTGTTTTTATTTACGGATTTCAGTTGATGTTAAAAGCCAGAACGAACCTTCCGAGACAAAGCCTGCTAGTGAGACGGTTGATCTTAAGGAAGTGAAGCGAGTTGATTTGATTCTTAAGTCGTTATATAGCAAGGTACATTTTTGACTCGGAGAAAATCTACTTGCGTAAATGTGTTCTGGCTCTACTTCTTAATACCTATATTCTGATTGTGAGACATTTTTGTGTGTGTTGCGTTGTGCAGTTACCCCCAGCACCTCCACCACCACCCTTCCCTGAAGGATATGTTAGCCAGGAAGCATTAGGAGAAAAGGAAGAAGAGGTTGGAACACAAGGGGGAGAGTCACAACAGCCTCAAATTGATCCTATTATCGATCAAGGTCCTGCTAAACGAATGAAGTTCTAAAGCTCATCATGATTGTTTCTCATGGCAGATAAATAGATTTCTTAGGTACTATCAAAGACTCTTCTACTTTTTCCTCTTTATCTTCTAATTTGAACTCGTTACAGTATTGTGTACCTGATTACTTCTCATAACGTTTATTTTTTCTGAAAGAAAGTCATCTCACCGCCACTTCAAGGTCAACTAATTGGTAATGTACTTAATGAAATTGACAATGACTATGTAATTTCAAAAGAGAGTTGCATCATCAAAACCAACGGCTTATGTTGGTCAAATGTAACTAGATTTGATCTCTCGATTATTTTATTGCTTAGTCCACTTCTTGACCAGCTTGTTGCAATTTACTTCCTCTCTTTACCCTCCTATATAAACATACACACTGTGCTTTCAAGTTTCAACACCAAATCAATTAGGCTCTATAACATATTCACCAATTTAGATTAGAAACCTGAGATGGAAACCAAGCCATCCAAGTCCAGCGTCCTCCTATACTTTCTTGTTCTTGCGCTAGTCTTGTCTCCTATACTCCCATGTCAAGCAACTAGTGTGCATCTTGGAGGTAAGCTAAATAATCAACATCTCCGTGTTTTCTGCGTTAGTAGATTTTTGTAAGGGAGATAAAATTGCGTTTCTATGGATAGGTGGAGGGCGTAAGTTGATGGCACCGTCACCACCACTTCTCATGTGTCCACACTGTGCGTGTTGCGCAGCGGCTAAACCTGGCTTTTGCTGCCCATGTAGCTGTTCCGGTGGTCCCTAAAGATTGTGACTTTGCTATCAGAGGGGATTATGTGATATATTTGATATCATTGTAATATATGAATGTATGAATAAGTCAACACGATCTATATATAGTCTTCGTGTTTTTTTTTTTAAATAAGAAAACTCTTGTGTTATTCTGCTGATGAGTTTTAGAAGTATATAAGTTGGTTTTGATGTCCTTTCTCCTTTGATATGATGAAGAACCATAAAAATAATAATCAAAAGCCTGCGTAATTGCGTTCACAACCATGTAGGACCTGGCACTGCGTAGCTGCGTAATTGAGGTTTAACCTGGCGCTGCTAACCAAGCAACTGTGGAGATTGGCGCAATATCCAGATTCACTGGAAACTCGAGTAATGAGAGAACGGTACTATCGTTTAAGTTCGTCCTTGCAAAAGTTCACTGTCAGTAGCTCATCATATGTGTGGACAAGTATCTCGGCTGCATGAGAATTATTGCTGCTGAGGGTTAGACAAAAAATACATTCAGGCTATGAAGTGAAAGTATGGGAGGACTCTTGGATTCCTATGATCCCAGTGAGGCCATCATCCTCATCTGCTCCGGTTTTACATCCGAACATGAGAGTGAGTGATCTTATTAACCAAGAAACTAAGTCTTGGGATTTGGATAAGTTGGCAAATTATGTTGACGCTGCTGACATACCTCTCATAAGGAATATGTCTGTTAGCTCAACACATAGTAGAGATACGCTTTGCTGGAACTACACAAGGAGTGGACAATACACAGTCAAGTCCAGCTATTGGATTGCTCGAAATATATTGATGAAGGAGGACGATAATAAAGTGGGTGAACCTAGTATTACAAAACTCCAAGCACATGTCTGAAAGGTTAAAGCACCCCCGAAGATGTGTCATCTTATGCGGCAGATTATAACAGGTCATATGGCTGTTACGAGTGCTTTGAACCATAGACACATCAGATGTGATAACTTTTGTCCACGATGCGGAGAACCGGATGAAACAATTGCACATACAATCTTTCAATGCCCACCTGCATTACAGGTGTGGGCTTTAGCATCTATACCTACCAGCTCAACTTTATTCCCACTGCAGAGCACATCTGCGAACATGGATTATATATTTTGGAGGAAGAAGGCCATACTGGAGCCAGAATTAGATAGGGATCCTTATCTGTGGCTAATATGGTACATTTGGAAGGCTCAGAACGATAAGTTGTTCCGAGGAATTGATAGAGATCCTTTGGAGCTAGCCCGGTATGCGGAGAATGAGTGTCTTGCCTGGTTCCAAGCTAATGAGCAGGAAATTGTGCCATCACAAGGAAATTTAGATGCTAGCAATCAGGTCATGAGCCTAGGAGATATCTGTTTGGTAGATGGTTCTTGGACCTCTACAGATCAATTCTCAGATTGTAGTTGGGATTGGAAGGACAGAAGGGAAATATCAGTTGATGGGCTTGCGTAATGTAAGTAGGGTGGAGTCGGCTCTGCATTCTGAGCTGGAAGTACTACGGTGGGCAATGGAGAACATGCTTCAACATTCGCCATGTCAGAGCTTTGGGACGGATTGCAAGGATTTGATAGCGATGCTCACACACCCCATGAATGGTCAAGTTTTTCGACGGAACTGGAGAAGATCTCGACGCTGCGGATCTGTTTCCCAGCTTTCAAATTATTTTATGTGCCTAGGTCCCAAAATGTTGTGTCCGATTTCTTAGCTAAGACTGCGCGATCCTTCTATCGCGAACTGATGTATGTTAGTTTTTCTATTACGGTCTGGATCCCCAGACCACCTCAAACTTACGTAATAGATCAGCCGTTTGTCGCAAAAAAAAAACCACATAGGACATCTTTCAAGGTTTAAAAAAGTAGTTAAAATAGAAATTTGCTAAAGGTTATTCAAGTGTATTATGTTCCACATGAAGAACTCCCAAACAAAAAAAATATATTAAATTGCTGATACTAATAATAATAGGAATTTTCCACAATTTAAATCACTTACAGTATTTGATATTAACAATTGTGTAAAATTTATGATTTTTTAACAAATGAATATATAAAATGGTTCAATTTGGTTAAAAAGTAATATGCAAATACGCTTTGCCGAACTATTCCAATTCATCATAGTGTCTAATAAATTTATCTTATATATTAAAACATAAATCATGACTTAGTTCATGTGTTATTTTTAGTAAAAATTATTTAAATTATATTATGTATAAACATATGAATTAGTCTAGCACAAAAATAAAATAGATATTCCTATATTTTTCTGAAATTATATCTGAACAAAATATTTTCATATCTTTTTATTTACAATGTAAATATATTTCATTTTCACTAAAATAAACCTTTAAAATATTTAATTAATTTCGTATTTAAATGGATATTTCATTTTTTACTTAGTTTCTTAAAAACATATTTAGTTAATTTGTGATTATTTGAAAATTAAAACTATATTTCATTCTAACTAAAAGAAAAATTATAAAATCTAATTATTTTTTTTAATCATAAATAAAATCATGTACATTTAGGTATTAAATTTGTGATACTAATTTAATATAGGAATACTTTTCAAGTAAATTTTTTATTTTAACCAATAATACTTTCAATTTAGAATTTTCAATCACATGATTTAAAATATGTTATCACTGAAAATTTAAAAGAAATAAATAAAACTATTGCTTGTAAACTATAAAATTATTTTGTTTTAATAATATAGATTAAATAATTAATAATATGGTAAATATTACAATTAGTCATATAAAACAAATAATTATGTGTGTAAAAACAAATATAATTACCAGTACAGTTGTGTGGGTGGAGATGTCGTTGTTGGTTAAAGAATGTGACCTATGAGACCCAGACTTAAAAAGGAAACTGTGAACAAAAATCTGTTTATAAATCTAAGTTACAAAAAAACTGTTTATAAATAATATAAGATCACGTAATTTTGGCAGAAAAAATCAACTAATTATTGAGTGACAAAAAGTCAACTAACCCAGAAAAAGACAAAAGTCAACTTTTTTACATGCATGCAACTTTGACTAAAAGCTAATTAAATGTATTTTGATTAAGATTTCTATGGAATAAACTAGTTGAATGCGATTTTTTCTACCATCGAGAGTCGATTTTGTGTCATATGTGCGACACTAAGTATTTGATATTTTATAGTATCTATAACAATAACATACTCCAAGCCCTCAATAAGTAGAGAAAAAAAGTATCCATTTAGTATCGTACCCATTGAATTCAAACATCTTTTTGTAAAAAGTATTTGATGAATGATGAGAAGTCTCCAAACGATGTAGAGGTCTAATTATGTTTATCACAAGAGTTTAATCATAAGAGGTATCAGAAGTTAAAAAAAAAGATGTATCAGGAGTTTAGTCTTGAAATGGTTCTCGATGATTCATGTCGATATTCGGACTCGAACCATATAACCTAGGTTGAGTCTGATCATATATAAGAGTTAGGAGGACTTTGATATATTTAAATGGTTTTTGATGATTCTTCAGCATATCCTATCTTGAACCGTTGACCCTAGGTTAAGTCTGATAATAAAAATTAATAAGAATTTGGTATTGAAATAGTTCTTGGTGACTCATATTAATGCCCTGCAGACTCAAACCATATATCTTAGGCTGAGTCTGATCATACAAGTTATCAGGAGTTTGGTACTGATATGGTTCTTGATAATTCATATTCATATTCTGACTTGAACCATAGACCCTAGACTGATTCTGCTCAAAAAAGTTAGCAAGAGTTTGGTATTAAAATTGTTCTGGATGATTCATATTCATATCCTGGCTTGAACCATAGTCCATTGAGTCCGATCATAAAAATTACTAGGAGTTTAATTTAAATAAGACTTGATTCTGATGGTAAAAGTTACCATGAGTTTGGGTATTGAAATGGTTCTTGATGATTCATAATCGTACCCTGACTTAAACTATAGATCCTAGACTGAGTTTGTTCATAAAAGTTGGCAAGAATTTGGTATTGAAATGTTTCTACATAATTCATATTTATATCCCTAGTTCAAACCACTGAACCTAGGTTATAAGAGTTAGCAAGAACTTAGTATTGGAATAGTTCTTGATGATTTATATTCTGATGATGAATAGTAAAAATATCCAAATCTGATCCGATAGGTAAATATATCCATACAGATACTAAACCCCAATACTAAAATATTCAGAAACTCGAAATACGGATCGAATCGATATCTGAACAGCCACCTCCAGAGCATACGTTAAAACCTCAATGTCAAAGGAAGGGCTAAATATGAATTTAATTCTTTTTTTCTTCCATAAATCAATCGTTAGAGATAATAATAACTTTCGGTACATATGGACACACTCAGACACTGACACGAATTGTCCAGCAACAGACTTTTGCAAGAACAGAGCCGCAAAAGAAAAAAAAGAAATAGAAACATCAAACAACAACAATGGCTGAACCGTTTGTGGAAACTCGAATCCCACACCAAAAACTCTACCAATCAAAACCTTTCCCGGCTGTTATTACTCCGTCACCGTCTCTACCACTCCCTGCTCCCTCTCTCCCACTCTTCACACAAACCATTTCCACCCACAAACCCTATCTCGATTCTCTCCTCCACCAATCAGGAGCCGTCCTCTTCCGAGGCTTCCCCGTGAATTCCGCCTCCGACTTCAACGACGTCGTTGAGGCTTTCGGTTACGACGAGCTTCCTTACGTGGGAGGCGCTGCTCCACGCACTAGCGTCATCGGTCGTGTCTTCACTGCTAACGAGTCCCCTCCTGATCAAAAGATCCCCTTTCACCACGAGATGGCTCAGGTCTGTTATAAAAAAAAAGGGTTTATCCTTTTATTACAAATGAATATAAAGATTGGATCTTTGATGATGTTTTGTTTGTTAGGTTCCTGAGTTTCCATCAAAGTTGTTCTTTTACTGTGAGGTAGAGCCTAACTCTGGAGGAGAGACACCTATTGTGTTGAGTCATGTTGTGTACGAGAGAATGAAAGAGAAGCATCCAGAGTTTGTTGAGAGGTTGGAAGAACATGGTTTGGTTTATGTTAGGGTTTTAGGTGAAGATGATGATCCTTCTTCACCCATTGGCCGTGGCTGGAAATCCACTTTCTTGACCAATGACAAGAACGTTGCTGAGGAAAGGTATAACTTAACTTCTTAATCTCTAACTAGTCTCTCTTGATAGCACTGAGGACTTTGAATCAATAGGGCAGCTAAACTGGGAATGAAACTGGAATGGACCGAGGACGGAGCCAAGACGATAATGGGTCCAATTCCGGCTATCAAGTTCGACAAGTTGAGGAACCGTAAAGTGTGGTTCAACAGCATGGTAGCTGCTTACACAGGGTGGGAGGATAAGAGGAATGATCCAAGAAAGGCAGTGACTTTTGGAGATGGGAAGAGTTTACCGGAAGATATAGTACATGACTGTCTAAGGATCTTGGAAGAAGAATGTGTTGCTGTTCCTTGGCAGAGAGGAGATGTTCTGCTTATCGACAACTGGGCTGTTCTTCACTCACGAAGACCGTTTGTTCCTCCTCGCCGAGTGCTTGCATCGCTCTGCAAATAAACTATTATTCTTGTCTTATTCCACGCAGCTAAATATCATAAGAAAGAACCTGAACACAAACTTATCCTTATAGTATTGTCACACGTGAATAAAGCTTTGTATACTTAGCTACTACAGAGTTTTACATTATTGCTCTCAGAGAGGAGAAAAAAATCGAAGTCAATGTCATCTCTGGTTCTGTGTTACATACACATAGAAGAACATAAGAGTCTTTTACTTTTATTCGTATCGTTTCTTCTGCTTATCAGTAATCTCTGGTGGCAAAGATAGGAACTGGGTGATTTTCTGCACCTGAGAGACGTCAATCCTGTAGTTTTTGGCTATCTCGTTCACACTCATTGGACCGTTGTGATCCTGAGCTTTGCCTTGATAGAGAAGCATGATGTGTCTTACTTGAGCCACGTTCAATGTTCCTTGCGGCACTGGTTTTTCCTCGTACCTTGTTGATTCAGGAGTTGTGTTCCGGAGCTTTGGGAGTGGTCTTTTCGACGTTTCTACCACCGATGCCTATTTAAATCACAAAGCATGACCTTTTGTTAAAGACAGAAAGACCAAACTCCCACTCATAATCTATAGTCAGGGCATTATCTATATTCTCACACTCCCAACTTAATCTACACAAGGAACCAGAATCAACAACAGGGAAATGGGACACAACCTGTTTCCTTCTTCCTTATGCCACCAAAATTGTATCGAAGGCCCCAATACTATCTGTGTAAATGCAACTATTACTTTAAAATAAGAAACAAGGCGGCATTGTGCTCATGAAACCTTGACCCAGTTATCACCTTAAACTCAATCAGCTACTTAAAAGACAACACAAAGGCTTCCAAGACCGTTATAAGTCTGATACAAGTACATAATTTAACACCCTGAAACTATAGTATAGAGTCTAGAGTTAGCGTGTTTATGTATGGATTAACTAGGATGTACAGTAACTATCTATCAATGCAACCAATCAGATGAATCAATATCAAAACTTAAAAGCACAATCCGTATTCTGATAAGAACAAGACAAGAGCGGGACACAATACTCACCTCGCCCATCTCAGCTTTGCCTCCAGGTTTAGCCTTTATTCTCCCAACCATTTGGTTCAACATTGTATCGTACTTTGGGTCTCTTTCTTCCAAAACACTCGTATCATCACTGCTTCCTCGTGCTTCATCTATCAGAAAAATACCCAACAAAACTCAGATTCAAAATACAAGCCAAGATTCTGCAAACCAAATCAGAAAAATGAAAACTTTCCAAACACCCAACAGATGTTTTTTTTTTACCAGAAACAACGTTAACGGTGGCGGTAGACGGAGATTTCACGGCGCTAAGTTCTTCCTTAGGAAGAGATCTCCGATCGAGGGGGAGCCTTGATGAAGATGGAAACTTTTCAACTTCTTTGACTCTCCCAACGGCTCTTCGCAGTTGCTGACCCATTACACACACCTCACTCTATCGTAATAGAAGATTACAACAGCAAATGTATAGTTCTAGATTCCGATAGTTACAATGTGAGAAAGAAGATACTAATCAAAGGGTAGCTTCCGTAGACACAGAGAGAGAGAGAACCAAAGTGAAGGAACGTGTTCGCGTTGAAAGGGTTACACGCGCTCCCTCTGTGAGAGAAAGAGACACAAGCCTTACTTTGGTTTAATTTCTTTTGTTTTACCCACTGGAGAATCGAACTCCACACCACCAGAACCTCAGACCCCTCTGTTTTATTGGTTAAGAGAAACCTTGTTTGATCGCTTTTTTTTTTAGCCCAAGACAATATGGATAAAAGCCCATAGACTTTTCAGCCCAGATATCTAATCAGCCCATTTTTTACATAGGAAGATTGAATTACATTCATGTTTTCATTAGTTACTTCTATTTAACCAATAATATTTGAGATAAATAAAGTTATTTATCAGATTAACCCATCTTACAATTCATATTCAACTGAAAATAAATATAAAAATTTATTGAAATTATAAAACAATATTTTTCTGTAACAAAAACAAAATGTTAAAATGAGACTTTGTGAGAAACTGCGGGAGTAGTAAACTACTGTAGGAGTGATAAAAACAAGAGAGTTCCGGTTTGGTAATCTGCTTGATGAGAACAAGTGGTTGGTACTCGTTGAAAAGAGCTAGATATCGTTTGCAAGTTAACTAGAATCGGATAATAGATTTGGTTGGAATCTTACAAAGTATCTTAACTCCTCACATGATTCTAAAACATCAATTTCCCTTAACTTGGAATAGGAAACGCAGCGTTGTCAAAAGTAAATTTAAATCTAACATTAGCATAGCACAGATAAACTTTTGGTAATAGAAAGGTATCATAAGTGCCTTTAAAGAATCTTACGTATAAATGGTAAGAGTAACGTAGACAAATAGCTTGATTTTGGAGCAACGCCTTGATAAGTGTGATATGTTGCATAAGTGTCTAATGTTGGCTCATTCTAATATGGTGTGATAGGTCAGTAGAGATCAAGCTTCTATAGTTTTGTTAAAGAGAACCTGTAGAAGCTTTTAGTTGTGCCTGTCATGGTTAGTAAAGATCATGGTTCATATCTTTGTAAAGATTTTAGCGCTGATTTATTATTCTGTTACAATTATGAAAATATTAGGGAAAATCGCATAAAAAACCTTCAAAGTGAAACTTACTAGCACTTTAAACCTTGAAGTTTTTTCACTAGCACTTTAAATCTTTAAAGTGACATTTGTGTCACAAAAAACCTTGAACTAGAAAATCTGACCTGTTGAACATGTAAAACAGGTCATTTATCAGTTTTTTTTTAAATAAAAATTTAATCAATAATAAAAAAATTAATTAAATTTTCAAAAAAAAAAGAAAAATCAGAACATAAAGAAAAATTTATAAAAAAAAAATTTGAAATACCAAAAATTAAATAAAATTCCGAAAATTAAAAAACAAATTCAAAAAATTGAACAAAACTAAACAAAAATCAAATACTAAATTAAATTTTCACAAAATTAAAGAATATTTCTGAGCATAAATAAAAATTTAAAAAAAATTGAAAACTATTTGAAACCATCATCGTCAATACTGATATATTTGAAATTTTTATTCTCAACTATAATATTTCAAAAATTTTAAAACTAAAATGTTGTATTTTTTATAAAATTTTCCAATAAAATTGACATATCATCGTTGACATTAAAAATTTCAAACATAGCACTGTTGAAGTACATGGTTTCAAATAGTTAAAAACATAATCTTGTAATTTTCTAAAAATTATTTTGAACTTTTGAGTTTTCAATTTTGTGAATTTTGTTTTAATTTTTTTTTTAATTTTCTGAATTTAACTTAATTAATATTTCAATTTCTTTTTCTTTTTATAAATTTTTCTTTCTGTTCAGAAATTTTCTTTAACTTTTTTGAAAATTAAATTGATTTTAATTTATTTTTTTTCTTATTTATTATATTAAATATTTATTTCTCGAAAAAACCTAATAAATAAAATAGGTAATTTATTAAATATATATTTTTAAAAAATTTCTTTATGTTCTGATTTTTTATTTAATTTTTTGGAAATGTAATTTAGTTTTTGATTTTTATTTATTTTTTGTTCAATTTGTGAATTTTCTTTAATTCTTTAAGAAATTAGAATTTTATTTAATTTTTTGTATTTCAAATTATTTTTTTATAAATTTTTCTTTATGTTCTGATTTTTTTATTTTTTGAAAATTAATTTTTTTATTTTTTATTGATTAAATTTTTATTTAAAAAAACTGATAAATGACCTGTTTTACTTGTTCAACAGGTCAGATTTTCTAGTTCAGGGTTTTTTGTGACACAAATGTCACTCTAAAGGTTTAAAGTGCTAGTGAAAAAACTTCAAGGTTTGAAGTGCTAGTAAGTTTCACTTTGAAGGTTTTTTATGCGATTTTCCCGAAAATATTATATAGATATTTTTACAATTGATAATTATGTATGTGTTATGAAGATCCACGTCTGTCTACATAGGTCCGGCCTAGAATACATGCAGAGTAAACAATAGTTTAGGGTCCATAAATTTTTTTGAGTTTTTTATAGTTGAGAATTTTTTCAAAAAACATTTTGAATTTCAAATTATAAAAAGCATATTTCTTAAAAATTTATATCTTACCAAAAATCTCTTGTAAATCTTTTTCACTAATTTTCATAATTCAATAAATCCGCATTCAGACCTTTAGGGTAAATGGGTTTCCCCGGTTAGTAGAAACCAGGTTCACAATATACTTGTAGCTTTATTTCACGTTTTTATATATTATATTCTTCTCTTGATTTAAACTCTTGTTGTTCTATCAGGGTTATTACTTAGTAAAGATCAGACTTCTACAGTTTTATTAAAGAGAATCTTTTCGAATCGTGTTAAGCTATTCTTATAGATTATGAAACTTGAGTCTTATTACATGAAAGACATTACAATATATAGTTGTCGAGTATCCTCTAGGCCTAGGTTATAATCATTTACATAACAGTCCTTTCCATATCTACATCTATTCTTGATACACCCCCTCAAAATGGAGGGACTCTTATTACTCTAATCTTGGACGTTGCTTGAAGAAACTGTTGTCGGCTTAGTGGCTTAGTTAGAGAATCCGCTAGTTGATATTTTGTAGAGATGTGAGCCACCCTTACAATGCATTTCTGAATCATGTTCCGTGTGAAGTGATAATCAATGGCAATATGTTTCATTCTCGAGTGGAATACTGGGTTAGAATACAAATATGTAGCTCCTACGTTGTCACAATATATAAGCGGTGCAACAGGTACCTTGATATTGAGTTCTTGTAGTAAAGAACATAACCAGCGTACCTCTGATGTTGTGTTCACAACGGCTCTGTACTCTACCTCCGTAAACGATCTTGCGACTCCATTATGCTTCTTCGATGACCATGACACTGGTGTCGAGCCAAGATATATAACATACACATTTGTGGAAACATAGTCATCACTGTCACATGCCCAATCTGCATCCGTAAATGCATGAAGCGTGAGAGAACAACCCTCTTTCATGTATATCCCATGACTTGGAGTCCCAACTAAGTACCATAGGACCCTCTTGACGGCCTGCCCGTGACACTCGGTTGGCTGATGCAAAAACTGAGACAAACTATTAACCGCATATAAAATATATGGTCTTGTGAAAGCCAAATATTGTAGATTGCCAACTATGGACTGATACTGTGACGCATCAGAGAGAGGAGGACTATCACGTAAGGTCAACTTAGGTGTTGTCTGCAGCGGAGTCGAGACAGTCTTTGAATCCAACATGTTCGTATGAGTGAGCAAATCTAGAATATATTAACGCTGCATAAGATGAAGACCTGTAGCAGATCGAGTCACTTCAATACCCAAAAAATAGTGCAAATCAACTGGATTCTTTGTAGAGAATCGTTTTGCAAGAGAGTGTAGAACCGCCAAAACTAGTTGAGGCTTACTCCTTGTAACAATTACATCATCAACATAGACCAATATGTATGTATGATGAGCACCAGTTCTGTGAGTGAATAATGATGTATCTGGTAAAGAATTGTGAAAGCCAATATCGAGTAGCTGTTTCTTTAGAGACATGTACCAGGCGTGTGGAGCTTGTTTCAGTCCTTAAATGGGTTTATTCAACTTACATACATGATGTGGTCTGTCGGCAATCAACAAAACCCGGCGGTTGAGTCATAGACTTCTTCCTGCAACTCGCCTTGTAGAATAGCGTTGTTAACATCAAGTTGTTTGAGCTTCCATCCTTAATTAATTGCAATGTTCAAGACAAGCCGAATTGTTGTAGTTTTAAGCACGGGGCTGAATGTTTCACTATAATCGACACCATACTGTTATGTGTGACCATGCGTAACAAGACGAGCTTTGGGTCTCTCCTCTTCTCCATCCTCCAAGTACTTCGTTGTATAAATTCATCTGCAAGTAACAATATTCTGGGCCAGGTCTGCTGGAGCTAAATCCCATATTCCATATGCTATCTGAGCATCGTACTCTGTAGACATGGATTTTCTCCAGCGTTCGTCTTTTAGTGCTTGACCGAGAGTACGAGGTTGTTTGGAAGCTTGTTTCCGTGACACAGTGAAAGTGAATTTAGAGTTTGGTTTGACAATCTTGTTCTTCGACCTTGTTTGCATCTCATGATGGTTTTGCGGTGGTAGTCGTATGACACCGAAGTAAGGATTTTGTGGGTTTTGAGATTTTGTGAGGTTTAACGGTGGTTGATTTTGTGGTTCACTAGCTGTAGAGACAAGAGTTTGGGTATTTGGTGGTGATGAGCTTTGAATTTGAGATTGATAGGTTTCATTTATTTGAGTAGTTGTTTGGGCCGTGGGTTGCGGCTCATTTGGTTGAGAGCAGTGTGCTCAGAATCAAAGGAAAAAGAAGAAAGAGATTGAGAGTTAGAAGATGATGATACTTGAGTTCGCTGCGGCTGAGACGACAGTGCG